AAAAGATTACTAAATGCTACACATCCTCTATATGGCTTATCTCGAGCCCCCTGTTAACATCTACTGCTTTTGGCCAAGGAGCTGCTTCGCAGTTCAAAAATCGCATATTCTTGAATACGAGACATTGGGCCTTTACACTTTGCAGAAAAGTATCCATTTGTCTGTAGACATCTCGATGCTTTTGAAACCCATCATCTTTTCAAAAGTCATGAGTATGAAACGGCTGATAACTTTCTCAGCCTACTGATAATTTGCTCTTTGAATTAAAATTGGAGTAAACGAAATGTGCAATTCGTCTCTCGTACGATCTTCTTTGCTCTACCCTACTAAATGTTGTAATGCCGATACACGTTTGCTCTGTAATCCTCGGATTATAATATATTTTGCTCTTTTAAACTTATAATTATCCGTATCACCTAGTTTTAATCTCAATTGTGTGGGCACACGCTTATCTGCTACTTTTCTAGGCTTCATTGTAGCAGTCATGTCATAGTTTTCCGATCACAAACTGCATGACTGTATTTTTATATTCATAGTAACCCCTTATGTACACGTTCGCATTAGCAAATCTTTAAGTAGTATTTATCTGCTGGTTATCCAGGATGTTAAAGATCTCTAACTCCTTAGCAAATTTTCTAGACAGTTTAATGACGAGTTATGATGCAGGAACGAGAAGTAAAATTTTCGTTGCTCAACTTCCATATCGCAATTATCATAGTTATAGCTGTATCAATTATTCTTCAATACCCATTGCTTGAACCAGCAGTTCCTTGGTCGTGAGTCACAAAGGAAATGCGCTCTTGCATACCTTTCACTACCATTTTACTGAGATATATTGAAAGAGCCTGAAGTGCTGTGACAGAGCTTCATATTAATGCTAACTGTGGAGTGCCTGATATGATAAATGCGATCATGATACTCCGTAGTAATCAATGGATTAAACTTAAGCCTACAATTTTGAGACCTCATATTACGCTAAGCCTACCAATTAACTTATGTCATCCATAATGTAGATGATTATGAGAGTTGTCAAAAATTATTCCTTTGAAATAACTGAACAATATAGTAATAATAATACAAGTTATCAGTTGTAGTTGTTTTAAAAGCTGATTACTAATGAGGTTCTCCCTTTGTAATAGACATAATACCATGTTTCGACTTGTTTTGAGCTCGCCTAATCTACGATATATAGTTCAGAACCTGCGAAACTAATTCGCTGGAGAGTGCACATCCTACTACAAGTTTCGCTCGCATGTCAGCTCAAAAGATGTTACTACCAATAACCACTGGTTGTATATACTGCTGATTACGATCCTCACATAAGCTACACATGCGCTGGAACACAGGTCAAAATCAGTGGGACACGGACTTATATGTTAACATGTAGCGTACTTAGAATTATAAATGGAAACTGGATAGCTATCCCACGAGATTTGCTATTGACGCACAGTAGTTGAAATCATGGAATTGTATGATCGGTTCTTTTCGTTACGCTTTATGTGTTTTATAATTTGAAGCAGTGTTAAAATTTTGTTGTTCTGTATCGCAGAATATAATTATCCATCTCATAGCTAGTTAATCATGTTCAGCAGGCGAATGTTCCCAAATAGTTAAACACAGCAAGAGGATGTTATGTGCATACTTCCATGCAAGCTCAGAGACAAACGTTTTTAAACTTTCAAAACGTGTTTGGTATAAATCTGCACATACACACACATCTGTCTCAATTAATCGCTTGTTTTATAATTTTTCGTCAGCGTAATATGCATTTGCCTTTTCTTGCTATCGTCCGTCTTAGATCGAGGAAGGTTTAACTAAATTTATTTGTCTCGCAGAAGAGCGTTAGAAGGGACTTAAAAGTTGATAGTTAAATTACAGCCAGTTTTTCTTTATTGCTTTTTTATCCTGCAGTTCCTGCTATACAGAATTCATGATGGATAACCACTGTTGAATCCGGAGTTCATCCCAGTCAGATTGATGGTTTGTAACGGAACTCGATAGCATATCCTAGTACATGGACGCAAATGGTGGGCTCAAGACGTACGCCCAAGCAATTATCTGTTTAAGCAACTTGAAAATTCCCATTTAGATTCTAAAGAACACGAGACCATAGATAAACAATTGTTTTCAATGGTTCTCTTCAGACCAGTACAATCATATTTAAGGGTAAAATAATGAAGTGAAATCAACTCATTGGGTAAGTTACATAGTTAATTAACGGATCAGTGAGGGAGGCAAAACGTTGACCATTGATCTGACAGGTCGAATGCATGTAATCGAGCTTTATCTGTGGCAATCGACATCAGTATCGTTTGTTCTAGCTGCCCAGGGAAGCTGTAACGCGTGGAGCAAATTCTTTTGCGAGCATAATGAAGGCTGAAACAACCGAACGCAAATCGATTCAGCTGTCGCGAGCGCACGGAGGCACAAACCTCTTGATTGATGATGGGGGACCCTGTAAATTATCCTGAAGGCACGCTTTAGATCGACTTGGTGCCCGTGTCGACAATATGGGCCAAAGCGGCGCTGCTACTGGCCCCAGTTCCTCCTTGACGCAACTAGCGCGGGCAGTGCTCCTTCACGCGTTTGGACAAGTGCCGTGCCGTTCGACCAATATAAGTAGCGTCACAAACGCACCTGAACTGATAAATAACCCTAAATGAGGTCAGCAATGGCAGTGTATCCTTATTGCGTGAACAAACAAGTGGTGCAGTAGCAAATGTGCACTTTAACCTGGCTGCTGGGAATGTTTTTCAGCGATAGTCAAGTCGACATTCCCAGCAGCCAGGTTAAAGTGCACATTTGCTACTGCACCACTTGTTTGTTCACGCAATAAGGATACACTGCCATTGCTGACCTCATTTAGGGTTATTTATCAGTTCAGGTGCGTTTGTGACGCTACTTATATTGGTCGAACGGCACGGCACTTGTCCAAACGCGTGAAGGAGCACTGCCCGCGCTAGTTGCGTCAAGGAGGAACTGGGGCCATTAGCAGCGCCGCTTTGGCCCTTATTGTCGACACGGGCACCAAGTCGATCTAAAGCGTGCCTTCAGGATAATTTACAGGGCCCCCATCATCAATCAAGAGGTTTGTGCCTCCGTGCGCTCGCGACAGCTGAATCGATTTGCATTCGGTTGTTTCGGCCTTCATTATGCTCGCAAAAGACGTTGCTTCATGCCTTACAGCTTCCCTGGGCAGCTAGAACGAACGATACTGATGTCGATTGCCACAGATCAAGCTCGATTACATGCATTCGACCTGTCAAATCAATGGTCAACGTTTAGCCTCCCTCACTGATCCGTTAATTAACTATGTAACTTGACCCAATGAGTTGATTTCACTTCATTATTTTACCCTTAAATATGATTGTACTTGTCTGAAGAGAATCATTGAAAATAATTATCTGTTTGCACGAGGTAGTGTTATCCAATGTAGAGCTTGGATTAACTTCAACTGTGGAAACTGGTTTATTTGGAATTTCCATGGCCACAACTAAAGGAAGGACAACTTACTTGAATTTTGAAGTTTACTGTGTAATGGTAACAATGTAATGATTGACCGTCAAATGAAACCAGTTGAAAAAAATGGAATTTAGGCCTTTTTTTGCGATTTTTTTGCTTTACAGATGTACAAAGCAACGATTACTTTAAACGAAATGTGTACGGATGCTTTTTAGTGCGTTCGCGTTACAGATCCTTGCAAAATATTTTTCTTGGTCGACGCCACAATACGCGCTTTCTTTTCCAGAGTTCCTTTAGGATAACTTCACTTACATGAAAGCTTAGTTCGCATTATTTGCCGATATCGAAGAATAAACAACATAATGGCTTTCAAATCTATCCTGAGGATAACTATTGCATGGTCAAATAAGTTAATGTTCTGACTCAAGCAATTAGAAAACGACGGGACTTAGTAAACAATTGGTAGCATTATTTGAGTATAAAATATTAGTATAATTATTTAGTTTTCTCCAAGACACCCGTTAATTATTCGTGTATTTCTTCTGATGTGAGAAACTGTGTCTAAAGTAGCATATATCAATTCGTACGGCGGTATCCAACCTCTTGCATGTTGATAATCATAGATGGAATAGTGGGCTGTGCAAATCCTTTCTTGGTGTTCTGTCAAATGGTTGACGCAAAAGTTTAATTTTGAGAACGTTGTTGTTTCGATGTCTTTTTGTGCCATTTTTGGAATAGCTCAACGTTGGATATCTTCCGCATGAATATACTTAGTATATTATTTAGATCGAGCTGACTGTAACGTTGACTTCTAAATGTGGCCATATCATCGCATGACCTATGTACGATTGGTAGTTTATTCTATGGTTAGCCAAATACTTTCCTAATAACTAAACCTTTTATTCGGATATTTTTTATATACAACAATTAGCCCCTTAACAGAATGTTAACTACGGATTGCCCGCAATTCGTACTACTTCATTACAAGTGTTACAACGTTTTTGCCGATGAACTCACTTTCACTGTCGTATACCCAAACTAAAAACATAGCAGCCGGTTAAACCAGTGAGAGAATACAGCACCATATAAAAATCACAATGGCTGGGAAATCTATGCCTAGATTAACCACCGAGAACTCTATGCTAGTTTTATTAAAAGCATATTCAATTTATGTTTCTTAACGGACACATAATATGCACGAAAGTTTCGGTTTAATAGTAAGCAGCAACAGAAAACAGACTGAGCTGAGGTACACTTCAACAAGAGTTCGCAACTGTATTTCATATTATAACTGGATCCTGAGTATAAGAGCATGATAGAACTATTCAAAAAATGTGACTACCATTTCTAACTGCTAAACTTTGACAAATAATAAGTGGTGCCCACTTATGTTGTTTTATCCACAAAAATAGGTAGATCAATAACACTGACTATGCAGCTGAACGCAATGAAACGTTTGTTGTATTCTAAGCTTGGAAAGACTGCTGACTCAAATACGGTTTGCCAATGTTCGTTATTATCACAAGTGTGTTTAACAGTCACCCAATTTCACCATATTTTCCAAACTTCTTACATGTTAAAATGTTTACAACATCTTGATGCATATGAAAAAGAAATATATTCATGGACAAAGTGTATTTGATGATTTCTGTAGAAGCTGAATTAATATCCATTGGCTTTAAAAATATTTTACCTGTGACATCTTTAGTCTCCGTTCCTGCCACTGAGTTGTAGGAGAAAACTAGTAAAGTGGTGTGAAGTAAATTAAGTTTTGTTTAGTTATGAACGATATTGTTGTATTTAAGCATTTAGTTATACCCCCAAGAAATCCTTACTGAAATTTTCATTCCTCGTAATCGGACCTGTAAATGAGTAGATGTGGTACGTAAAATATGCAAATACCATGTACAGTGTTTTATTTATTACCAGCCTTTTTATGAACAATTTGTACAAAAATCACCGACTCACGTGGATTTCTTGATGGAAATTCAAGCAGATTCATATCTATTTGAAGAAGACATCCTTGTTAATTTTTGTATTAGAATTCAGTTGACAGGCTGTCTGTCACACAGGAACTCATCTTGGCGAGAGTACAGCGTTTAATATTAGCAGATATATTAATCCAACCTCGTTAACATGGTTGGACTTAGCTGATAACAATATTAGTTAGTTTATGAATGAGTTCTTCCTCACACATGAACAAATTCGCGATGACGAATATTTCTGCTTTTTGATGGAATGATATTCTAATTTACTTTACCTTAAGTAAGAATAGGTTTTTGCTCACAAAAATTTGCAAGTAAGCAATGCTTAACATAAGACTAACGTACAAATTCGTCATGTTTGCAATTATCCCTCTGATTTATGTTTACAGATTTACCATTGGATTTACTGCGACCAATATCTGGAGATTTTGACCCAAACAGAAAAGGTGTATGTAATGAAAGCTTTTTCGTAAGCGCTTAGTTAGCCAACGTTGTTCAATCCATGTCGCTGCTCTGCGGTTAACTACCGTCACTCATGTCTCAGAACCAATTGTTAGGGACAAAAAAATATAAAAGCAAACAAGTGTGCAATAGATAAGACACTGTCTTTTGTAATGTGGTATGTCGGACGCATCATCAAGGAATTTTCCTTATGTAAATGTTAAAGGAATTTGATAAGATGGACATGGATCTCATGTACTTGGTACACCTTAATACTGCGTGCACTAACTCCTGCTAGCTTGGTGGAACATAGATTGAACATAGTTTTAAAGCACCAAACTAAAAGACTGTTGAGCAGCTTATTAATAGTTACGGCTGAAGCAATCTGTATGCACTCGAATGTAACCGTCTAATTTAAACCCATATCCGTCATGCTAACATGTGTCTTTTATGGCGCGAAGTTAGTGGAATCACATTTGATCTTTTTAAGAACTAAGTTCTTCTTAAGTTCCTAACGGCTCCATTATGATGAAACTGCGGTAATCCACTGAAAAAATTAGTCCCGATAATCCTGTTTGATGTCCGTATTATTAGCTGAGCAGAAGGTTTGCGCATTAAAAAGCCTAACTTTCAGTAACCTTGATAATGCACCTGAGAAATGCACAAGCCATTTACTTGAAATTTTTGAGCTGCTACTTTGATTTGAACCGTTTTACTACGACGCATTCAGTGTTGCTGGATAACCTTTGTAAAAGTACATGCTAAATCTCCATGCAGCAGATATAAAAACATTTCGGAGTGTTAATTAAGATAGCTCACCGCGTTTGTTCTCATTCAACTTAGCTGTGGAAAGAAATGCCTTTAGCTTATTGTGATAGTGACATGAAATTCCAGTTCAGCAATCAAGAAAAAATGAATACCAACCTTCAAAAATGCAGATTTCCGGATACCCAGCTGAAGGATTTATAATGGTTTCTTGGTGTTAGTAGATTTAAATTTACTCTCAAATTGGTACTGACAAAAGGTATTAGCAAACAAATGCGCAGTATTGGTAACCTTCAAAAGTTAAGCATCAATATCGCTGTGTTACACAGTTATGAGATAAGAGGCATCAGCTATTGGCAGGCTTGGTTTGAGTAGGGAAAACTGTTCCTATACTTGCCACAGAGAATTACGGGTTGATGCTGCTGTGCTTACTGCTCACCATCGACGGCATGTTTTCGCATAGCAATTCGTGTTACTTAGGTAAATTTAATTATAAAAGTTCGCCGGAGTTTCGTTTTATCCAAATGTAAATCAATATCCTTTACCTGGCGGCATATCAGTATCAATACGGTAGAATAATTAACTCATGTTGAATTCACTGCGCCTGCGTCTGGTCGCAACGGTAATCTTTGTGATTGTATACACATGCTCGGATCCTGTAACAGTCCTTTTGCATGTAACCCTTGTGTCAGCCTATTCCAGCACTACGTAGTATACCCAACCTACAGAAATGCATATCCCGCGCAAGTTTTTGATTTATTTTGTTCAACATTCAATCCCCAATTTAGACTAGTTAATTAAACGGTTATTGCACATAACTGTGGAACAATAATTTGAATTCGTTAATCCACGACTTTACAAGCAAGTAGCTCATATTATGTTTTCACATGAAAAGCAAGCCAACGATAGAGATCTCTCTTAGTCCGAGTAATAACAAAACAATATTTACTATCATGTGTGGCATGCAGAGTATCTAAAAGCAAATATCGACTTGTTTCGGAAATTCATAAACTGCGACCAACTAACATATATTGCTGGAGATTCCAATTCGGAATTCTCAGGTAGGGTTTGCTGGCAAGCCTAATGATCTGATTAACTCGACATCTGGATACAGATATCTTCGGTTTGCAGCATCATAATTAATCACTCCTAGCAGAACCCGAAAACACATGACAGTAAGGGATGCAGCGTTGCATGTGTACATAACAAAACCAAGGCTTGACAACTGGAGCAAATATGTAGTGCATCGCAATCACTGTATCACACTTGTCTGTGGTAAGATTTTGTGCTAACAACTGGCTTCTGTACAAAAATATGAACAGCCTCCGGAATGTAAAGCTTGCTATTCTTCATGTCTCATAAAAATGATGCCTTCAAACCGCCGAGGGTGCAGCCAACTTTCTGTTGCTAAGGTATGCTTCAATATTCCGACACGTCCACAGCATTTGGTACATTCTAGCCAGATTCCACCAGACGTCAGACTTTACACAAGTCACTATTAGTTCTGCAACCATTTTGAGGAAACTGCTATCGTTGCGTACCCGTATTTCTTCCGTTGTTGATTAGCTTCTCCAGGAACCACTACCGGTGTCAGGTACCAGCACAACTGAGCAGGTAACCAAATTTTCCAAAATGCCTGGACGAGCAGCAGTTTATTAGCGTGTGGGAGCAGGGTATCATAATCCACCAACTGTTCTGCTGTGATTTTCTTCCAGGTGATGGTAAAGCCGATCACTGCTGGAACATTAATGCGTTCTTTAATACGTTCTAAAGTGAAAGTACTTCGTTAACAAAGCTGTCAACATCATCGGTCACGAACTATCAATCCACCGATCGCGCGAGACAGTTGGGCCGTATTTATTGACATCTACTTCGAATATTTTAAAACCTTCGACTGCGTCTCTTTCCACTAGCTGCAAACACACAGGATTAACGATATTATCCTCAAATAGAGCGAATTTCCTTCCTTAGTGGCAGACTGGTTTTGGATTCGTGGCTAATTTTCTGATCAAACCATAAACACTGCGGGGTTTCACAAGGTCATCAATTTTTAGGCCTCCCTAATGATTGGTCATCATCAACTACCTAGTACGTGTTCTCAGTTGGAAATTCTTGCTTTTCCTAATGAGATTAAGATATGATGATCGTCGGTAACAGGAATATCACATTCTGCTGCAACCTGACTTAGAACTTGATGTTAAATAGCCAAGGGCACCATTACTTACGTTCACTGCGCGCAAGTGTAAACTTATGCAAGTAGGCCACAAGCACACTAACGAATATTAGTTTAGATAACAACACTTAAAAACCTTATACCTCCGCGACAATGAGGTGCGATTCAAGACGGCCTCTGCTGTTTAGTGTCCAATAGCTCGAACCAACATGCTGTTCTGTTACGGAAAAGGTTCTGTAACTTCAACGTCACCAGCTTTCTTCATTTGCTGAAGGAATGTGTGAGGCCCCAATTAGAGTACATGATTCGAGCATGTCAAATCTGGCTATAACGCGATCTAGCTTTATTAAAGTTCAGACAGCAAAAGGTAATCAAATGGTGAAGGGTTTGTTCCGCCAGTCGGATAAGGTGACACTGCAAGCCGTATGGATTGGTAAAGTGGGAATACTCGCCGTCCATTGGGAGACCACATTCTGATGTACCAGACCTTGGAATAGCCTGGTCACGCTTGACGCTAACTCCTGAGTGTTAGCCAATGCACAAAATTGAGCGACTACCCTCCGAAACTGGCTACCAAACACAGACGACAGAAGGGCTACCAGAATTATTGTTCTCTTCGATTTTGTCATCCAGGAAACGCTGTTTGAATTTATGACGGATTCGTCTGCATCTGTTATGTTTCTAAAATAAGGGCTCATCGTTGCATTACATTATCCACATCAACTGATTTGATTAAGAGCCCGCGTGACTAATACATTAAAGTTACAACTAAAATCCTCCTACTCATTAGTAATAACAAATGTAGCCCCTTAGTTTCAAATGCAAGGAATATAACGTCCATTAAGAGAAGTCATGACCGCGGCGGCTATCCACTATCGTCTCGCAGAAAAGCATAGCCGTCAGGAGTGCTGCAAGAACTTCGTTCCATTCTAGTATGTCCCCCGTGGAGTGCTCTCCACCAAAATCGGTCGTCTCTGCACCGAAACTAACAGTATTTGAAACCGGTTGGATGACGCACTCACCCAATTAGACTTTGTCACTTAGCGCTACCTCTTTGTCCTACACCTAGAGTTTACCATGGATTTATTTGATGTTAACTGTGGGTGTTATGAAGCTAAGTGACTTGCAGGACTACAGCGAAGCAAGCGATAAGTACTTATTTTCATAGTAGATTATTAACTATTTTACTAATATTATTAGTATCGTTATCATTATAGTTATCCCCATTAACCTTCCAATGGGACTTGTAAAGCAACTCTTTTTAACCCGTATATATTCATTTGTTCATTGTTCATATGCACCGGTAGGAACCTGCCTGGCAGTGAAAGATAGCTCGTGCCATATCCGTAATCTTGCAAATTATAAAACCAAACCACCGTCTTCAATGACTCAGTGGCTTAAGCTGCTGGCTAGTTAGCATCACACTCTGGTGACCATGATTTTATTCTTAATTTTGGGACCAAATAATACGCAGCACTGAAGGGCCCGAATATAGCGAGGCGCGATTCCGGTTCTTTTCCGGATCGGAGATTGTGCTATGTGACTTTGAGTGCCTGGGAAGAATACATTAAGGTTCGAATTTCGCTTTTCGAATGACAATATGACTAAGAAAAATATCGTGCTCACCAACCCCAGCGAAATGTTTGTAGATGGATTTACTTTTGCCTGAAGTAGATGTGGTGGCGGCTGAACCTCGGTCGAAGGGTATCACCTGCCTCAGCGCGGTCGATAAGGCGATAGATCGCGTGAGCGAGTAAGTTTCATTACAGCAGATTGAACATAACTTCAGACTTGTGAATAGAACGCTTGTGTGCTGAACCAGTGTGCTTTCTTCTTCTTAACCCAGCTGACAGCCCCAGGCACGCAAAATGCTGACAGTGGAAAAGAGGAGACTGATGAGCAAGCAGCAGCTTTGTTTTTGCTGGCCGTCGTTTGTAGCGATCCCGACTCCATTAGATATGACGGAGGGTCCGTTGCCCGAAAACTAGCGAATGTGGAGAGCGAAGTGGATGAACTTCGTGACACTGCTCGAGTCGGATGAGTATCTCATGCAATCTCAGTTAGCCATGTTAGGTATGCTATAGGCTACGATGCGATGCGCATACTAGAAGCCTGGAATTTCTGCGATCAATCCAAAGAACCGGAGCTTTTATAAACGCTCGAAAGATTTGGTGGTTATTATGTAAGCCGGTTAAACCATTTTGCCCGTTGCTGTTGAGTAAGAAACTTTTGATCACCTGATAGTGTAGTTCAGCAAAAAGTGCAAAAGATTTCAGCAAATAACAATTGGGATCAAGACGAAGATGGATGCGCTAATGCAAAACTGCCGATGCAAGGACAACTAGTTCAACCGCAAGCTGATACTGGCGCCACCGTATATTTACAAAGTGAAAAAGGTACACTAATCGTCTGAAAAACCGTCTTCAAAATCATTCACGGCGGCGAAAGACACGTCACAAACACGTACCAAGACAGTAGCATAATCTGGCGCCTGGTGATGAAGTAACGTTTAAAAAGATACCAATGGTTGAAGGGCATCAGAAGAGAAGAATAGCTGGGCGTCGTAAAAGAAAGAAAAGAAAGAAGCTTTCGAATGCGGCTGACAAGGTGATGTGTTGAACAGGATTTTCACATGGACGAGAAGCCGCGTCAGCTGAATAAATCAACTACGATCGCACCCCAGCTTCGAAAGCTCTGCTGCAGTGGAAGGCATTACGGAATCTGCAACCCAAAACCACGATGAAAAGAAGGAAAGTATGTGATGGCGGCTTAAACTTGGGGCGATAGGTATCGTCTGCTTCAGTGTGGTCGATCAGTCGATTGATCGAGTTGGCGAGGGGAATTTGAAAAATACGGCTAATTTTACGGAAAATTAGAGTAATGACTAGAACGCTTGTATGCTATGCCTGTGTATTTTCTTTCACTTACGCGGCTGGCAGACTAAAGCGCTCAACAGTCGATTCTATGGTGAGTTCATAGATGTGCGTTTCACTTTAGGGTTACTGATTTTTTAACT